AATGGACTTCATAAGAGAAAAGTAAATCAAATATAAGCTAATCCTATGGTGTCTTCTCAGAAAGGTATTTGTTTCAGCTCAGTCTGCAAAAAAGGATCTGAAAAGATGGAACAAGATCAAATAAATAATTTTTACTCTGATCTGCCGAAGAGAGGATGATACTACTTCTGAGTACTTGAGGGGGGAAAAGAAGTAAATGGTCCAGCATTTGCAAGCTCCCTGACCAGTATTTTACTGGTGTTCAACAGATAACCCTGGCTGTTTAACCCAGCTCTGACTAAGGTGAGGCAAGAGATGCCTAGTGCCAATATTTAAGGATGTACTCACTCTCAGGAACATGTAAATGCAGAGTCGACACTTACAGGGCCCTGAGAGTGAGTGCCCCCTTAAATTATGCACCCTAGGTACCTCTTGCCTCACCCCAGTTCAGGCCCAGGTATAACCAAATACTCATAGCTGAAGCAAAGCTCTTGAAAATGCTCCACTTGGCTTTCACTAGAAGGCATTCTTGACACTGGCTGCACATGAGTCACCTGGGGAGCTCTTAAAAACCCCAATGTTTATCCCAGCAGGTATGACTCAGTGGTTGAGTGTCAACCTATGAACCAGGAGGTCACAGGTTCAAGTCCTGGTCAGGGCACCTGCCCAGGTTGTGGGCTCGATCCCCAGTTGGGGGCATGCAAGAGGCAGTCGATCTGTTTCTCTCTTGTCAATATTTCTATCACTCTCTCACTCTCCCTTCCTCTCTCTCTAAAATCAATAAAAACATCTTTTTTTAAAATCCCAATGTTCAGGCCACATCTCAGGCTAAATAGATTAGAATGTCTAGGAGTGGTCTCTTTTTTATTTTGCATTTAAAGTTCTGTAGGTCAGAGGTAAAAGGCATCAGGACTTACAAAACACAACTGAGAAAGGCTTATATTTGTGAAAAGTGTTTATCCTATTTTTTTGAAAAGTGTTAATTAGGATACCAGGCAATCCTCCACCCACCCCCTCGGAAACTGAACTGTAGATTTGGGCACAAAGCAGGTAAAAGATTTCAGTCTTACTTAAAATAAGCAACAAAGGTGTCTGAACTTCATTCTTGTATACAACAAAGCAATTCTAACTTCTCCAAAAGATAAAGTTGGAAGATGCTACAATAAAGCTTAATGCCCATTTACAATGGAATGAAACTATTAGTGCCTACCACAAATCCACTGTGATGTAAGTTTAACTATAAGTGACTAACAGCAGAGACTGCTATGTCTCATAGCAATAAACACTAAACGAGCCACTGAAATTATGCTCCATCAAGAAACTTGTTTCAAGGAACCAAATTATGTAATACCAACGGATGCCTTTTGGGTCAGATTTGTTCCCCCATTTGGATAATATTCCATGATTACAGATTACAGTCAGCACTTACTAAACAGAAAGAATAATCAAGAAGAAGCTACTTTGCATAACAATGAAGAGCATGGGAACTGGAGGCTGAGCTCCTGGCTCCAAACTCTCCTAGCCTTGCATCCTTAGGCAAGTTACTCAACTGCCCTAAACTTCAATTTCCACATCTGTAAGATAGGGATAATAACAGTCCCATAATAAAGACCACCAGTGTTTAGCCACTTCTCTCTTTGCAGGCACATGAGAAAATTACATCCCCTCCAGTCTGCTTTGCAGTTCAACGAATCATGTGACAAGTTCTGGCCAATGCACTGTGAGTGGCAGTAACATGAGTCACATCCAGGCATTTAACTGCTAGGGTGAGAAACTATTTCTCTGTTCTGGCAATTATGGGAACAGGTGCTGTGCTGGAGGTGCCACAAGAAAAAGCAGCCAGGATAACAGAGCCACCACATGAAGAGCAGCTGCCCTAGACTTCACCCCGACCCACTGCAAAGCAGGAAGCAAACCTTTATTTTGTTATGACACTGAGATTTCAGTGGTGTCTCTTATCACAGCTTATCCTAGGCAACATAAACTGATACAAATACTGAATGTAGGACTTGTGAAGACTAAATGAGATAGTGCCTGCCATACACTAAACTTTTGATAAAGATGAGCAGAATGATCACAGTCCTCTGATGGTTAGGTAAAAGGGCTGTGTTTCCCCAAGCTATGAGAATCTTCTCAGCTATTTGGAGTTGTCCTACAAGGTTACCATGGACTAACCATAAATCCTGAACCCTCTTCGAGGTCTACCAGGGCAGCTGTAAACAGCTGATTGGTTTTCATCTCAATATGAGGAAAAGGAAAAAGTTCCTGCATGCTGTGTGGACATATGAAAGTCATTTGTATAAGAGCGAATTAACAGGGGACCTCAGCACATCCCTTGAGTATTCACCTTCTTCATACAGATTTGTAAAACCAATACTGAGGCTGTATAAATGATGACAAGAGTCTGGAGCTTTGCTTTTTGTTCAAGTTGTGGAAAGTGCTCAAGTATACAGTGGGTTGGGAACAGGGATGGCAAGATAAGAAAATGTTAAATCAAAACTTTGAGAAGATAATTTCATTCTGCCAAAATTGGTACCCCCAAAGTACTTACTAATCATCAGGATGGTGCTTCAAGAATTGGGGAATTAAAGGATGATCAGAGCTGATATGACTGACAGGGACAAGAGAGAGAGAATGAGGGCAGTTCCACCCAGACTCTCCCACTTACTCAACCCCTTGTCCTGAACAAAACCTTAAATGACAGTATAAATTCCTCAAGTGGAAAATTAAACTGCATGCTATTCTTTTGCCACGGCTCTGGAATTCCTGTCCCAATCTCTTCCTGCTAAAGAACAAAATCTATTTTAATGGCAAGTCAGTTAAAGGGAAGTAATCTCAGGTTGCTCTCTGAATTTTTTCCACTTAAAAAAAAAAGAAACTAAGATACTTGCTGAGTTTTCTCATTTTAGTTTACAGGAGAGTTGAATAAAGCAAGGAGAAATTCCACAAATGCTTATAGAATAGGCTTTAAACCCACTACAAATGGTTCTCAGAAATAAGAAACAGGTCATGGGTAATAAAATGTATAACTGGGAGCTACTTACCACATTTAATACTCTCTATCCGCACAGGGAGGCCAGATTGTGCTGCAGCAATTAATTTCAAGGCAATGTAAAACTGAGTTGGACCAAAATAACCAACGCGCTTGGCACCACACAGTTCTGTGATCTGAAAACAGACAAGAAAAGTGATGCTGAAAAACCCCATTTCATAACAGGAAAATGAGACAAGATATATTATGAAATCTCAAGGATTTCACAGTTTCGCTAACCACAAGTCCCTGGAGAACCTATGTGTACACACCGGTTTCTTTTTCTTCCAGTTTACAGGGAGGTATTCAATTCAGATAATTAAATTCTACCTACTCATGATGTTTCAGGACTGATTATTCCTCCTCTTTCAACAATAAAATTAAAGGTAACAAAGGATGGCTGTTATTCTTCTTACAAAAGAGAGTGACTTTTTCAGGGGGTGGATTCTGATGTATAAAATCTAGAAAGTCAGTGGGGGCGAAAAGAGAACAGATTAGTCATTTCCACTACCTGTGGATGATCCTAGTTGATCGAAATTAAAAGTGATTATTTTTTTAAGTTCTCAGGCAAATGATTTCCTAAGCATTAAAATTACATCTTGAGTGCTCATTTCAGAGGAACAAAACAGAAGTATTTTCAGGATATTGCACCCTAGCTGGTTTGGCTCAGTGGGTAGAGCATTGGCCTACGGACTGAAGAGTCCCGGGTTCGATTCCAGTCAAGGGTACATGCCTGGGTTGTGGGCTTGATCCCCAGTAGGGGGCGTGCAGGAGGCAGCCGATCAATGATTCTCTCTCATCATTGATGTTTCTCTCTCACTCCCTCTCCCTTCCTCTCTGAAATCAATAAAAAATATATATTTTTAAAAAAGATATTGCAATCTTTCATTTGTAGACCTTAAACTAACACATATCCTATTGGTGGTTTAAAATAACTTAAATTCAATGACTTATAGATACTCAAAAATTCAAATAATTGTAAGTGGGTGTGAAAAATTAAAAATTATCCCCCACTTCCTATGCCCCAGAGAAAAATATTATATGTTCTTCTAGAAATGTTTCTTATCTCTAATAATAAGAGGGCAATATGCTAATTAGGCCAGATGTCTTCCAGACTACCTTCTAGACATCCTTCTTGACAAAGCCGGGCCCAGGAGAAGTCGCCCGCAGTCCCGGGCGCCTGCAGCTACAGCTGGCCCAGGAGAAGCCATCCACGGTCCCAGGTGCCTGTGGCCGGCCAGAGGGAGGGAAGCCTGGGTCCTAGGTGTGGGGACTGAGACAGAGGCAGTTAGGGGTGATCAGGCTGGCAGGGGAGCAGTTAGGGGCGATCAGGCAGGCAGGTAATTCTCTAGTGGGGCTCAAGAAAGAGGCGACTTCTTGTTTTCTCGGTGTCTAATGCCACGTCTTAGACTCTAAATCCTCTTCCCCATTCACACCAAAAAACAGAGAGCCTGTGCTATAGTTGCCTTTTATGTAATTAGTAGAGGCCCGATGCACAAAATTGGTGCAAGGGCCTTGGCCCCAGCCCCCGCCTGCTGCCGCGGCCAGGGCCTCAGTCCCCGCCCACTGTGGCTTTGTCCAGTGGTCTAATTAGCATATTACCCTTTTATTATTATAGATATATACTAGTATGATGCACACACCTGTTTTTTTCTTGTTGGTTATTCAATACTTCATACAAATAGAATACCACATACTATTTTGCACCATTTTTTCATTTAGCAATACTGTTTTCATGCCTCAAGACATCTCAGTCTGGATCCCCACCACCCTCAGGACAAAATCCTATCTCCTTAGTATGGCATTAAAGCCCCTTCACAGCCTGTCCCTGAGCAGGTTTTCTAGTTTCATCTCAGGACACACACACATATACACACAGTTCTGTAGCTGCATTCAGCTTCTCCCACTGTCCAAACACATATTGCCCTTTCACATCTTTGTATCTAGTCCACATGCTATAGGAGATGAGAAACTAAAAAGCCTTAAAGCCCTGGTCTGTGTGGCTCAGTTGGTTGGAGTGTCGACCCATACATCAAAAGGTGGTGGGTTCAATTCCCAGTCGGGACGAGTATG